AAAATACTGTGTTGATCTAGTTTATACATCAAAACTGAGGTGAGGAATTACCTAGTGTAATGATACACTTATATTTGACAATTAAAATGAGATGCTCCACAGTCTGTCGGGTTCCCTACCGACATGTGAATTTCCACAATAGGATGGAGGCAAGTATTATCTGTCACCACTCGCCAGGGACAGCAGGGACGAGATTTATCTACCTCTTGTCAGACATGAGCATACTGAACTACCTATGCCATGAGTATTTAGAGCTTTGACCCGTATGCCGTATACGGCAGGACGTTTAACTTACCTGGAACTATCTGATGAAGTCCACATAGGAAGGTAGTATTCCCACGCGACACTCAATATTCGGACAGGACTCGGCCGGTTTCAGGCTTCTAGTCGGCGAAGTCGGCCTAGACGGACGGCTTATCCGCTGAGAAAGAAACTTTCAGTGCCATCAGCCAAGAAAAATTGATTGGGCTTTAATTATTGCTCAGAGCAGGGATAAAAGTCGTGGAAATGACCGAGAAAGTCAATTTTGTGAGCCTCTGGTCTTCGCCCTACAGAGGCTACAATATTAATTAATATATTGAACTTCACACTTACAGGAGAACCGACCCTATCTATATTCCCGGTTTCAAGGGCCCACGCATTTGAGATCAGATCTATTCTACTTAAGATGGTTCATCGAGATAAGTGAACCATGGTAGCACAAGGTGCAGCCGCGCAAAACATGGGCCGATGAGGCAGTCCATTTAAAGAGCAAAAAAGCCACCAGCAGCCACCACTCCCAGGCCCCACCCCAAAAAAGCGAAAAAGAAAAGGATATTAAACCAAGACGATGATCATTGATGTCTCTTGTCTCTCTGACAACGGCATTATCATGCAATCACACCCCCTGTTACTTAGTATCATTACGACGATGACTTCCAAGGCCAACAACAGGGCAGTCCTGATACCAGCTTACCCCACAGCGGGGATCGGAGCCCACTTGCCGCCACCGCGCCGCCCCTAAGGGCGCGTTCTTTCCTCATTGGGATAAAGAATTGTGGGCTCAGGTACCAGTCACCGGCGCGGGTGTAACAGTAAGTAACCATTGGTATTACAGCAGTAACTTTGATGATGGTTATCACTGGAATCTGTAACCATGTCCTATCTTCAGTATTCAAATGTGACTTTCGATGCACAATATCCCGAGCGCAGTTCTCTTAAGAAATAGACAAATTTCAAGTGCAGCAGTAGTCGTCCTACTATTAAAACTAGCTTCGGACGATAAACTCTAATCTGCCTGACGTCTGTCGATCGCCTGTGCATCACCTGTGCAGAACAGAAAATGCTATACCACCATCAAAAACGAGGATGGCGTGGTCTCAGGGCATGGGGCCTTTTTTCAAGTTTCCACAACGGAGGATCACAACTTGCTTCCTAAGTGTCGTTCTTCAGTTTCTCTTAGGTGCTGGAACAGGCTCAGTGTATCAGTTTGCGCTACGGAGTACAACTACTAGAACTACATTGAACTGTAGGGGATATAACAATTGTCTTTCATAATTGTGAGCTGAAACAGGCCCAATCAAGTGTCAACGCTGGAGTCTCTCATAATCTCCGAGGTAAGTTCTGACTGCTGTGGCGGTCTAAAATTTTCAGTCTGCAGGGATACTGTGGACCCGTTATATGCCAGGTAGATCCAGACGTAAGACTACTGAAGATTGTCGCTGTCTTTCTTGCTACAGGAAGTTCCATGGTGTCTGAGTGAGGTTTCGCATTTGGAGTTTCAGTTGGAGCTATCAATTGGGGTCATCACTTGGAGTAATGGAGAGATTGCATGGACTACTCCTATTCCAGCTGTCCATCCAGGACGGGAAGGTCTTTCTGACTGTTGCACCACACCATCAAAATAGACCGGTGGATAGTCTCAACCGGGATTGGGAAGTGGACTGGTGACTGTGCTCAGCTCGGTATTTACTGATAGCCCGAACGATAATGCTCAGTGCGACCGACTTGCCTACTCTGTATCTCGGTTTCAGATTGTGCAGCAACTAGGAAGGGGCATCATCATGAATCCGATGCGGAAACTATTGCAATGCTTCATGTTAGACTTATTAGTTGTCATTCCTCGATGTCCTACAAGGGCTTGTGGTTTACATGTCATGCCGCTGCCTTACGTAATTGCTTTACGGAATCTGGCATCCTTAAAAAACTTCAAAGAATCAGTCGATTCTTCCCTGCCAGTAGATAATCTAAAAGATTGCCATCATATTTGGAGGAGACGACACTCCACCAGGCATGTTCAAGGGCACCGACGCGACGAAGAAACTCCACCGCTGGAGCTCCTGGCATGTGCGTGCGAGCGCTTCTAGATCGAAAAGTTCTCCTGTTCATCAGTAACATCAACCGTTAGCACTCCACTCTGAGCTGCTGTCTCAGCGATCAGAGGGTTGACTTACCAATTGGCATTCCCCATCCGGCAAGCACATACTCATGCAAGAACACATCAGGATTCTGGGGCGGATAGACCTGTCATGCCACACTGCGTCAGCCGACTCCACATATTCTAACGGTCATGTCTCACCTCCCAGCTGATCGCATCACTAGCGATCGCCGCAAACCCGGTATTCCACAGCCATCGAAGCACGTCAGTGGTTGCTTCGACTCCGGCGTGCTCTGGGCTCGGGTTATCCGAATACTGCTGCTTCTGCGCATCGGTCATGATAGTATCCCATTCCTTGGTGACCCCAACCCGCACAAAAAGGATGTCGCCCTTTTGAAATGTGATGTTGCATTCTTTGGCAATCTCCAAGATATCCGACAAGCGCACTTGGTGCGTCGAGAAGGTGGTATATCTGATCCCCTTCTTCTCTGCCCATGTCGCGTAGTCAATCAAGACTCCACGTCCTAGCTTTCATGCTCAGTAACCAGGTTCCATTCGCATGTGACATGAAGCTTACCTGCAATTCCCTCTTTCGCCCAGTGCTGCAGACCGATTCGGTCGTTCTTACGGTCATTGATCTCCTCAACCGTCGTGCCACCATAAAATACACGCTCTTTCTGCCCAGGAACAGTCTGCGAAAAGTGTCTTAATCCATCCCATTGACTACTTTGCTCTAGAGTAATGACCGTTAGTCTCAGGTTCGAATAGACGCGTGGCAAGACCTACGAGGATTCATAGTATAGATATCATCAAACGCGACTCCGCCTAGCAGCGGAATGATCTGATGATTGCAAGGCTGCCGATTCAAATTCGGATAGTCAAGCTTCGTCATATCCCAGTTCATTGTCACTCGTCGGCCGGTCCTGATCTCAGCTGCCGCTGCCTTGGCCACCACCTCTGGAGTCAGAATGGCGAGTTTTCCCAGTCCCTCTTCATAGCTCCCCGGCTTTCCAACCCAGACTTGTCTAGGGTTGGGAAGTTCATCGAACGGAATATCCCAGGGAGAGTGGCTTCCCATTATGCGAATGTCTAGAGGCAATTTGGGATGTATAAATTGAAGACAAGGCTATATTCAGAGGTGAGGTTAAGGCCTATGGCTTGCAGGGTTCTACAGCATTCTACTTCTATAGCGAACTATTCGGGGTAACTACAAGCGATGGAGGGGTCAAGGAGGGGAAGCTGGTCTTAGTCTTTATGAGTGAATCAGATAAAGCGATATCAGCACTCGACACTACCTTAGGCTCAGGTGCGGCATTTGGAAGCTGCTCTGGGAAATTATTTATGCACTAATGGAGCACCATTTATAATTACGGAKGATCTAGCTGGTAAAATCAGCATACGCTCGTTAGTGCATTCTTGCACGCCTCTGAGCGCGTACTACGGGCTCTGAGTATCTCTTGCGATTAATTTAAAGTTCTGACTCCTGAGGCATCGCAACAGGAGCACTTTGGTCTGCACAGAATGTCCCTTGTCGACAGCGGACTCTACGACACAATAACAAGTTAATTGATGAAAAGCAAGCTAGACATATGGAGTGCGTAGTATATAGTCTTGAGCATGTGAGGAAGGTGAGAATTGCGCCAAGTTCCATCACGAAGAATATACTGGATTGTACCTGAGGTAACGACAATACAAACAGTAAGGTAAGGTAATGTAGTCAAAAGACAGGGATGCTGTGGGGGCGGATGTCAAAGGGCGGAGCCTGCAGATTATAGAAATATATGATTGGCTATGTTGCGACAGCAGAACCCGACAAGTCTTAGCAACGCTCTGTCTGGCCCCTCTGTCTGTGTCAATCATTACCAAACTATCTACTAGATGCGTAGGAGAGTGTTACTACGACGAACTGTTGCAGTCTAGCGATGGTCTAGCAGCAATAGCGAAGGAGTCAACTCTCTGCACTGAACCCTCGAGGCTCAAAATTTCCTTTCTCATCAACCTGCAGCAAGTGGACCACGACTCCTCGTCTCCTCCGCCAATGATGTACAAAGTATGGAGTTCATTTCGCGCAAATCAGGCCAATCTCAAGGCTGGATTGACCAGCGCGGAGTAAGAGCAACCAAATGGGCGGAGGGGAGAGCTCAGAGCTCCCTTCGCCTTCGCAAATCACTCAAAGCTAATGCAAAGGCAATAAATGCGTGGGCGATATGGGACGCTATGGCAGCATGCATGGCTAGAACGTCTAAAGCATTCTTGGTGCTTGGTATCAGAATTTTCGGTGCCGACAAGCGAATCACATCTTATCTTAACGTGGAAGCTACTTCAGCTTGTGACCTGTCCCAATATTGATCCTCTTCTTTTCTCCCCTAGACCAGTTCTTGAACAGTCTGAGTGAGGGGCAGAATCAGATCTGCTGTGAGACCAGGAGTCTGAGTGCCCTCGTACAAGGCCCGCCCGGTCCTTCCCGCTTCCTGCATTCTTCTTCTTTGTGATACAAGTCAAATTTGCAGGGGTTAATTCCTGCATTTGCGGCTCAGCTTGGACGGCTTTGTGTATCAATCAATTGTGACGCAGGATGGGGACTTTCGGTTCACAGACCAGTACCTATAATAGGCTGGTCACCATATTTGTAGCCGTTGGGTCAATGGTCAGTACCCTGCATCCCTGGGCTGTATCTGACCATCTTCGCGTCGGCTAATCTGCTCTTCAGACCTATGGTTACTGTGCTTCCATCATCGGGAGTACGATTGGGCAGCCGGGATGGTATAGCTTTTTCAAGCTCCCTGCCGAGGGAGAACCGGGATATGCCTCGATCACAACGCCCGCTATCTCCACAGCTAATGGTGTCTTCAGCGCTGGAGGTGCTGTCGGCACATTGTTCATCATGTGGTCATGCGATTACTTCGGTCGTAAGGTGAACATCCAGTTCGGTGCCTTTTTCTCCCTCTTTGGTGGTGCGCTTCAGGCCGGCGCGAACTCGCTCGAGTATGTCCTAATTCACGTTCTTGGTCAAGGCATAGCTGACAGCAACCAGTATGTTTCAAGCGGGTCGGTTCGTTTGCGGCCTCGGTATCGGTATCCTAGTCACGGTGTGTCCGATGTACCTTTCGGAAATGTCGAGCGCGTTCCGCCGTGGCTGGCTTGTCGGTCATCATGCTATCTTCCTGGTCTTTGGTTATATGCTTTCTGGTTGGGTTGGTTTCGCATGCTACTATGCCGAGGGCATTGGTTCGTTCGGCTGGAGGTTCCCGCTGGCCCTTCAGTGTCTGCCGCCTCTTGTGCTCCTCGTCGGATCTCCATGGCTTCCGCGCTCTCCCCGTTGGCTCATCTCCAAGGGCAAACATGAGGAAGCCAAGGTCGTCTTAGAGCGGCTTCGTCAGTCCCCCGATGACCCCGACAACCTGGTCGCTAGGGAGGAATATTACCAGACGGCAGAGCAGATCCGTTTGGAATCTGAGAGGCTGTCCGAGTACGGCAACGTGTGGAAAGCAGTTGTGAAGAAGAAGTCGTACAGAAAGCGAATGGTAATCGGGTTCCTAACTCAGTGGGGAGCAGAATTTGGTGGGCCCTTGATCATTGTTAGTCTTCTGATTATTAAAATTGGAACTGGACACTTACATATGATAGAACAATTACGCTGTTTTGCTATACACGAATCTCGGCATGAAGGGCGGTATGCCTTTGCTCCTGAGCGCAGTGTGGCTGACGACAGCTGGTGAGTACATGTCGTTGAGCTTTGCGCGCATAGCTTACACCTGCAGGTCTTATCTACAACCCCTTGGGTGCTTGGCTTCATGACAAGGTCAACTCGCGGCGCCGTATGTACATCACCGGTTTTGTTGGAATCATTGTCACCACTTCCTGCTTGGCTGCAATGACCGCCGAATATGCTGGCACAACAAACAAGGCCGGAAACGCCTTTGGTATTCTTTTCATATATCTCTACCTGGCGTTCCAGGGGTAGGTTCCTCCGCAGTGCTGTGCTGTGCGATACTAATTGGGTACCCAGAACTTTCTGCGACACGACCATGTATCTCTATGTCTCTGAGATCTTCCCAACCGAGATCAGACCCATAGGCATGGGGTTCTCTCTTTTCGGGCAGTTTGCTGGTATGTTCATCTCGGTTGTATGGTCCGACAGCAACTGACGACGATGCAGCTACCCTGGTCTTGCTTGAGACTGCCCCTATGGGCTTCAACAATATCGGCTGGAAGTACTATCTCGTGATCATCTGCTGGTCCGCATTCTTCATTCCAGGTAAGATGGACATTCCAGTGCTCGACGGACATCCAGCTAATACCCGAAAGTCATCTACTTCTTCTTCCCAGAGACTGCCCGCTTGACTTTGGAAGAGATCGCGAAGAACTTTGGCGAAGAAGTTGCCGTTCATCTCACTGATGCGACTGACGAAGAGAGAGCCCAGCTGGAGCGAACCTTTGTCGACGGCTCAAGCAGTGTGCCATCTGAGCCGACCAAAGCGTTTGAGGCCAAGGCTGCTTAGAGGTTGGATATCGACCTTGAGACATCAGTTATCGATCATTGGCAATTGTTATATAGTAAGAATCCTTGTTGCAGGGCACAAAATTTGCCACTCACTGACTGAGATACAGTTTGATTTTACTTTCAAGACAGCTTCACAACGTTGTTTGTGCCGATCTCCGCCTTCTCGAGGACAGATTGAAACAAAGAATCATGCTACAACATTGCATTTTGGCTTGAACGACGCCAGTCATTGGATAATGCGGGCGAAGCTACACCATTACTTTCCTTTCCCATTGATAGAAGTGATACCTATACCCTCTTTGATGTGTACACATATTAATAATCGGAATGAAGAGCTTGGAGTTTGTTTCCAGGCGACTATTTTGCGCCGAAGAACCCGCAGCATTAACCCCTGAAAACAGAACACAGAATGTCTCACAATTTGATGCTCAACGGCCAAATCTGCAAAATGCGGCCTTCTCGCTGGTCATTGTTGTCCATGTCTAAGACAGCAATAATTCCTTCATCCTCAAATCGATATATATCGCCGGATCTACATCATGATTTCCTTCTCGAACGTAGCACTGTCTGGCGATCCAATATTAATAGCATTGAAACATTGGACTAACTGTCTTCTGAGTACGCATCGTTCTAGGTGACAATATTCTTAGCAGCGCCACTATATCCATGACCTCATGTCTCACTTGATGTGGAGAAAACTGGAGAAGCATGATAGTATCTCGACTCTGACCTCAATCCTCGGTCTGCTTCCGAGACATAGGAGAACACGGGATATATAACCAGTCCTAGGACCGCTGCAGATAGCATATCTCAACATCACCATCAGTACATCCCAACGAAACACTACTGCAGATTTAAACCACAAACCATCAAAATGAAGCTCACTACCGTCCTCTCTCTCGCCCCCCTTCTCGGCGCCGCAGCCGCCCAGGGACAACAACAGCAACCCTTCACACTCAACGTCCGCTGGTCCAACAGCCCCCTCAAGGGTCCCCTGAATGCCAACGCCGGCGCCTTCTGGATCGGCAAGCCTACCGCCTCCTTCTGCCCGGAGAACGTCGCCGGCTGCTCAGCCGTGAACACCACCTCGTTCGTCGCGCAGGGCTCGAAGCTGTTCTTGAACGACGCCGTGCCCGGCGGTCAGCAGGGTATGCTACGCTACGCCCCTTCCCCTATCCCCCTTCTCTCACCATAATATTGGTTGATGCTAACGGTTACGCAGTCTACATCTCCCCCCAGGGCCAACTGACCTACACAGTCCCCCACAGCGCGAACATCCCCGAGGGCTCGCTCACCGACCTGCCCGTCTTCTCGACGAACTCGTTCCTCAACCCGTTCCTGACGCTCTGGCTGTGCTCCGATGACAAGGACGCCAAGCAGTGGAAGGTCTGGGCCGAGTACACGGATGCTGCTACCGGGTCGATCACCAACAATGGGTCCAACGGGAGCAATGCCTGCACGCGGATTGCGCTCGAGGCGCAGCCGTATACGGGCCCTAAGGCTTGGGAGTTTTAGACACGGCATCTGTGATGCTTCCAGCTGAGCAGCTGTGAGGTTAGGGACACAGTTGTGTAGAGATTAGATAGCGATTTACATTAATAAGATGTGTGGTTCTTTTTAAGGTTATGAGTTCTTACTATTATGGCTATAGTTCCTTATTAAAACACCATGATAGGTGTATAGAAGCATTCAAAGCAGATAAAGAGTCTGTAATCTACACCTAGGTCAAGGCTACCTGGATTGCCTATATTTTCTGATGCGAAATTAACATGATATTACAATAGTCCGTATCGCTGGTGGTTGTCCATTGTTGAGCCGTGGCAGCTGACTTGGTGGCCATCTTATCTGATTATCACGAGTATGGTACTGGTAGAGAAACCTTCGCTTGGGCCAAATCGGGCATCAAAGATATCTAATTAAGATCCACACAATGACATCTCATGAGGTATTAATGACTCCGCTCATCCCAGCGAGCCTGGAAAAGGTTTCCCTCACCCCGAATCATTGTCGGAACCCTTGGGCAGCATGATACTTGATGGAGGGTAGCACGATGCTACCCCGCCGCCACAACCTGGAATAAAGTGCTCCATAGGACCATTAAACTTTTGGAGAGCACAAAAACCAGCAGATCTCATCGGATTAGGAATGGCATCAGCAGGGCATATCGAGGGTGTTGTCCGCGGCACCCGACAGATCGCTGGATACCGGATCCTCCATGCTCCGGCCGACTCAGATTCAAACTCCGCCGTCTTCATTTGCCGAATGCTCCTGAATGACGATAGACAAGAAAGGGAGGATCCGCGCCTCCCCGCGATGCGGAATGAGTAATTTCCCAGAGGAGAATCCTCGGAGCTATATGTTCTAATAAGCTCTCGGGAACGGGATAACGTTGTGCGAGGCCGTCGTAGCTGTTTGAAGTTTGGACAGGCGCAAGGAACTCTATTGATTATCCCACGCAATGATCGACTGCGTGTGAAACAGATGACGGATCACATATGACAATAACGGGGATGGACAGTAGTCCAAAATGCGTTCACATGACGAGATTGCACATTGCCCAATATCCGGATATTTTGGATCATAGTTGGAAGACGGGCTATTTGCTGTGACTTACAATCTTAAAATAGTCTAGTCKGCACGACTGTTCTTGAGTCTGTAAAACTGACAAATATGCCCATCAAAAAGAGTTATCACTACCAGCGAAGACGATGGAAACAAGCTCAAGGAAACCTATGGCAGAGCTCAGAAAGATGACAGCCATGGGTTCGATGGCTTGTGTCCAGGCCCGCCCATCACCAGGACCACGGGGGATCACGGAAAAGCAAGATTGACCATCTGCACTCGAGAATCAAGGAGATTGTCTCCAGTCCCGCCGATCCTGCGGGATTGTCATTGACAATCAGCTGAATCAGGTTACACAAGCTGTGGTGAGGTCGCAGTGGATGATGGATGATGGAAAATTGATAACGCAAGAGTGGACCACCAATCGCACTTAGCGTTAAATTAACTTTGGAGGAACAGAAAGCATGAGGTCCTACATGCGTTTCACTGCGACCTGTGAGTCTTTGACCTTGGAGGCTAAAAGCTAATTCTCAACGGTGCCAAAGGCAAGTCCTCGCCGCAGTTACTCCTGAAAGCTTTCATGGTAAATAGATGATTATCTACCAAGCTGGACCAAGGTAATCATAATCAGAAATCCAAACTCCACTAAAATACCAGGGGCCCCCTGAGTCTCGCTGCAGGGCACGATAGGTCCTCTTCGAATCAGAGACAAGCAGCCACGCACTTCTTTCAGCGTAGACTCGGCATTGGACTGCTTTAGTTTCGCAAAGAAGATTTCCACTAGATAATCGGCCGATAGCGGACACTAGCGGACACGCATAATTGGGGAAGAATGCAGCAATCGCGGATGTACTCCCTAGATAAGTCGGAGAAAGCGAAGGAAGTTAATGGAGGTTTGCCCATGAATATTAATAACAACACTCAAAAGGATGATAACTAGTCCCCGTCGCGACTGGCGAGAGCGCGGTAGGACCGTAGGAGAGAATCTGGATCCGAACATCATTTGTTAGCGACCGTGGGGAGAGTGGCCCACTGTTCCCAGTCAGACACGGGTACGATCGGGGCTTCCAGGAAAGTGGGAACTGAACGCCTCGAGTTTTCCAGTCTTGAGTCGAATCACGAATAAGAATGGCTGAACGAGGCAATTTTCCCTCTCAGGCACTTCTGGGATGCGCGTTCTCGACCAGTAGCAATCAGCCGGGTGTGATCAGCGATGCACAGGGTAACCTCCACTGAGTAGACTAAGGTACTCATCCTCATGGATCATCTTGCCAAATAATAATCATCCACGAGGCACAAAGGACCACGAGGGGAATTTGGCACAGCATGATCACCCACTAGGGTCGATCATTATCACCACATCGTCATTCATCCTCGTCCACTGGCAATAGCTCAGGTCCTGAAAGTGGAAACTGGTTTTGAGACTGGTTCTGGAACTGGAATCTGGGAGCAAACTGATCGACTTCATCCCAAGAGTTTGATCATCGAATTTGAAGGACAAAAGTTGAGTTTGTCCGTAGACTAGGGTGAGGCGTGAGGACCGCAGGTGGAAGCGAAAACAAACTTTTGCCAATCTTCCGTAAATCTTAAATGTCCCGTTAAGAGGTGCTTCGTAATAATAATAGTAATAATAATAACCATTGGGCTTATGATGAAGGCTTGAAGCTGAGCTCAGTAACTTCGTATTGTGGTCGGGACTCCCCAGGATTTTGGCCCCTCCCCCAAGGAAAAAGAAAGTGATGAGATGAGCTTCCTTTCCTCTTCGTTTCCCCCCCGCCAGATCCGGTGATTCGCCGCTCCTTCTCTTTCCTTCTCCGACACGACGACACAACCTCCTCCTCACTGCAACTGATCCCCCCTCCATTATCATCATTATCTATTCCTTTCTCATCTATCTACCTCCTCAATATCCTTCCATTCGGTTCTTTGTACTTTTGCAAGGGTGTATCACTAAGTTTGCCGTAAAAAGTATCTCATCATCCCGGTCTGTCTTTTCGCTTTTGTCGGGATTTCTAGCTATGATCGTCACCGCTCGAATCGATCGTTAATTGTGCCCGACTTTGGCTTATTATTATTATTACCTTCTGGTCAAACCGCTGGTCTTCTCTACATCCTCCCACATTATTAGCTTCATGTCGCTGCCTTTTAGTTCGGTATCGTGACTCTCCTTCTCATGGAGATGCATACAGTGGTGTATACCCCCGGAAAGCCTGATCCTCCGCCAACTGCACAATCTCAACCCGCTGCGGCTCCTGCGCCCGAAAAGAAGAAACGCGTGCGTCGATGGCATCGCCGTGGGTTTACAGGTTGTTTGACCTGTAGGCGACGTCATGTTCGTTGCGACGAGGCATCTCCTTCATGCAAGAATTGTACACGGTTAGGTCTCGATTGCGATGGAACTCAAGGTCGCATGACTTTTAAGGTGTATGGCCCATCGCAAAGTGCACAAGAATTGTCGCAGAGTCCGAACGATATCAACACAGTCAATGCAATAATTGTCAAAAATCAGCAATTGGATATCAAGCATGTCAAGCAAGAGCCCCAAGACGACAAGGTTGATTTCGTTGATGGCATAGTGATTTCTCCGACAACCATTACCGACTCGGCTCCGGTCAAATATCGATTCCAAGACCCTATTTCTCCTTCAGGCTTCATGCCCTCTTCGTTAGATTGCGTAGAGGGCCGCTATTATACCCATTTCATCGACCAGGTCGCAACGTTACTCCTTATCTACGATAATTCGAATAACATCAACCCTTTTCGACAATACTTTCCCGACCTCGCCCAGTCTTCACCATCCGTGGCAAGCGCCATGCAAGCGCTTGGTGCGTTGCACCTCGCAAATACGTCGCCAGGCCCACAGCGCAATGTACATTTTCAACAAGCAATGGGCAAGTATGGAGAGGTGGTAAAGACTTTCAGGACGCGGTACACACATCCCGAACATGAAGTTCAAATCACAGACTTTGCAACTTGTCTCTTGCTGTCTTTATTTGAGGTAGGTAATCCCGCAACTGGGCCCCGCCAGCTCCTCACTAACCTTATCTGATTTAAAACCAGATGATGGATTCTGGACATGATAATTGGGCGATCCATCTCAAAGGCGCTCGCGAGATCTACAAATCGCTATTTTTATCGAAGAGAAGCGACCCTGCAAAAGAAGCCCGACGGCTGGCGGAATCGAATCATCCCCTTCGACATTTTCTCATCTCCCTTCTTTCCTATCTCGACGTCGCGGGCGCATGCAATACCAGTGAAGGCACTGTAGTGGAAGGAAGCTACTGGAGAACACACGGAGGCGGATGGGAATACAATCTAGGCACCCCGAGTCTGTCATCGCCCACACCCGGCGATGACCGGTTGAACGAGCTTCGCCAATGCTGGTCCATCATGATGGAGATTCAAGCCGACATTAGCGCTCTTGGAAAAGCGAAACATGAGAAGTGGCTCTCGCCTGCGCAACAAGACGTCATCTACGGTGACTTGTTGAATCGCCTCGTTCAATGGCGTGCCAATGCACCGCAATGCATCCAGCAGCTAGGCGAATTAGACGATGAAAGCCTACAACAATACCAGTACCCGGAAGTTATGGAGTATGCTGGATGTATCGAGGCCTATGAGAAAGCGACGATCATCTTCTTGCACAAAGTGATCGCGGCTGAACGTCCCGATCGTCCTCCCCAGACACCGTTCCTGCAAATGCTGGCCACTCGCATACTTAATCTGATCAAGAAGCTAGCGAGAGATGTCGGTCAGCTGGCAGTGATGTGGCCCCTCTTTATTGCAGGGCGAGAAACCCGGGACGAAATCCAGCAGAAGGCTGTCCGCCAAACAATGATCGACTGCCGGCGGTTCGGATTCAAGGCACGTCGGCCCGATACCCCGTTGCTTAACTTGACACTTGAACTAACTCGTTATATAGAATGTTGATAAGGCCCTCGAAGAACTAGAGAGAGCCTGGTTTAAACAACGCGCTTTTCCGGAGGGTTGGGTCGACAGGATGGATGATATTCGCACATCGATCCTTCTCCCGTAGATGGCTCTAGGCCACCGGGTTCTCGGCGCCACCCTTTTTTGGGTGTTTTGTTTCTTGGTACTGGTACCAGCATGGCTTGGACAAAAAAAATCCCAGATGCGTTCCTTTTATTAGCGATGTGTGGGTTGTTTGGGTTGCTTTTACTCTGGCGGGCGTTTGGTTGGGCTGGGCCCTTACGACTTGATTCATGGATTTCGCTTCCCGGTTCGATTCTCATTTTGTGGACACTTGGTGTCAGGTTATCGTATATAGGACTTTACTTACTGGCGGGACGGAGGGATGGACATATGGGATCATTTATGGAATGGGAAATAAGGAATAGACAGGGTGGCTTTGATCACCATTACCACATTAGCGTTCTCAAACTTGGTATTTTCTCACGCTATATTACATGCGTTGCTGAAACGCTTGTGCAAGCCCCCCCCAAAATCAGGGCTAATAGGAGTATATACTACTTTTAGATAATGTACAGTCGACCTTGTTCAAATCACTTTTCACTGCGACGCAGTTCCCTCATGTTGTGCCCTCCTCGACGAACCGACCTCCTCCACCGTCTCGGAGACGGCGCCCTTGCTGTCAATGAAATGCGAGATACGGTCCCGGGGTAACCAGGCGTCCTCGGGCATGACGAAGTACGAGATGAGCGCTAAGATCGTCACACCTGCCATGATGATGGGCGCATCTATTCAGAAAGACACATTAATATAACTAGCACAGTCTTGATTGAGAGAGGGACAAAGGATGCAGTATCTTACAGTTGAGATTCTGCCCCGTCACGGGAAACGCGTACGGCGAGAACAGGATGGCGACGACCCAGGCGTTCCAGAATACGCCGATGAACTGGAATGGCTTGCTTAGGCGCCCCAGACTCCACTTTGGCTTGGGGAAGCGCTTGGGCGTGCAGAGGAGGCGGCCAAGGCAAATGAGGCCGTATGCGGCGGCGCTGGGGACACCGGCTGCGGAGACGAGGGATGTGAAGGCCACGCTTGACGGGAGGAGGGTGCAGGTGACGAGGGCGGCGACGGCCCAGACGACGACGACGGCGTTCCGGGGCTGGCCGTTGTGGACGCGGGAGACCCAGCCGGAGAAGGGGAGGACTCCGTCACGGGCGACGGCGAAGACGAGACGCGAGGCGGCGACGATGGCGATGGCTGTGTTCTGCAGAGGGGTCAGTGTGTGCTTTTGGGGGGTATGGTGAACGGGAGACGGCGTACAAGCCACAGAGCTACAATGCAGATGACGTTCATGAAGACGTGGCCGCCTTTGCCGAGGACAACGGCGTATAGGGACACGAAAGGCTGGGGAGAGCCAAATGAGAAGAGTGTATCGGCGTCCGGCTGGGAAACGTCAGTACCCTATGTTGTATCTTAATGGAGGAGAACGCACCGCGCAGAAGAGGAAAAGGATGATAGTCGCCAATCCGCCGACTCCACTGACGACTGTACTCCAGAAAATACCGCGAGCGGCTGTGACAGACGCGTTCTTGGTCTCTTCCGCGACGTGGCCCGAGGCATCAAATCCAATTAAAATACCTGCAGTTGCCAGGTAGGAAAGACACCAGTTCCAGGCTGGCGGGGCACCGGTGCCGTTGTAGGTCGACATGAAGGCTTCGTGGGCAGACCGGAAGCCCCAGGTGTCGTGAGCGCCGATCGGAAGCCAGATGATGTTGAGCACGAAGTCCAGCATGACCATGGTGGATGATAGGTAGAAGACGTATCGGAAATATTTGGCTAGAAGAATGAGTACACACTGAAGAACAGGGTTCATCACGATGAGTTGGAGCTACGCACGAGGCAGGAAATTGAGCAGTGCAGCCAATGCGAGCAAGATCTCGGTACAGATCCATTGCACTGCCCGAAATTTGACATCGCCAGTGTCGGTGGGGAAGTCGACATTGAAGACTGTCAATTCCTGTCAAAGAGAGGTCAGCTCAGCCCCTGATTCCCCGTGAATGCGCTTGGGAGCTTACCGAGAGCATGTAGTTCACAGCGGCTTGGGTGTTACTGGCGCAAAAGGTGGTCCAGGCAGTGGTACTCCACCAGGCAACGATGAAACCAAGGAGTCTTCCAAACCTAGGACCGCCAGCTTCCGCAGCCCACAGGTAGATCGAGCCTGCAGATGGTGACGCAGAGCATACTTCCGCGATGACCGCGGCGGTGATGAACGTGAAGACCATAGTGACCAGGTAGCTCGTCCTACTAATCGTGAGTTTCCATATATCGAAATACGTGCTCTTGACTTACCAGTAAGCTAGATTACCACCCGCTGCAATACCAGTACTGAAAGTCACACGAACTCCGCCGACAAAGTAGAGTGCAGCTGATCATGGTATGTTAGTGATGTCGGCAAAGAGCGCTTTGATAAGAGCATATCTCACCAAATGTCGTCGAAAAGTTCTCAAGGAGGCTGTACGTTCGATGAAGTACCTGACGATTATTGTAAGCACCAAAGCTCCACCTATAATATTGTGGATCAGGAAGCATACTGGCTTGTAGCCCATCGATTTCTGCAATTTGCGTCAGTATTGATATCATCACTTTATTATTGCAGTTTATCTTCTTGTTTGCAGGAGTGAAAAGAGTCTATCCACTAACCAATAGATCCGCATCGTCTTGCGAACTTGTTTCGCTTCTGTCTTGTTCACCAATGACAGGGACCTCATCTTGGTCAACCAGAAGCTCTGAATGGTGTTGGGTCGTGGGAGCCATGGCTGTTGTAACGTCTTGATGACAGACGTGAAGTATTGACAGTATCCAAAACCCTAGCTCCTGAGGCTCAAAAAATATTAGAAGGAAGGAAAAATCAAACTCAAAAAAAGTTTGCGATATGTTATCGTCTCTTCGTAGATGATTTGAGTTTTGTGGATATCTTCTGCACCTCCCGCCAGGAACCTGCCAACCCCACTGTTAGCGGCGATGAAAAGTTTAAACCGGCAAAGGGATATGCAGGAAATAGGCGGTTCGTTGGAGATTCCAGAGCCCCCAATATGCCACGAACTAACAGACAACTTCGTTTGCCGAACGAGGCAAAGGCCCTGGAAGAAAAACTCACTTACTCGCTGCCCAGGACTACAACTTGAATCCTTGTCTTCCAAGCTTTAATTCATCCCCCGGAGATGTCTGGTCCGCAAGAGATTCAACGAGAGAGCACGCTAAATACGAGGCTAGGGACGCTGAGGCCAGGGCACTGCTTTTTTTCCGTCTTCCACCCAAAAAAGCCAAGTGGTGGAGTCTCCAATCAGAGCTCACTGGACGGACCGCAAGTCCGTGGGTCATAACTGGGAAGCTGTCCCTTCAGAATCAATCCTGTTGCATTCCTAGAAATGAGGTGTGGACGAAGCCACGGGGAGATTTTGTCAATTGCTTTTTCTGCCTCCTGGATTGACTCATCGCCATTGGTGCTTTTTCATCATTAAGCTGGTTTGACCATCATCTTAAGGCTCTCAGATCGAATGACAGGAGCTGGAAAGCTGCGGGACCCAGACCGGTTCAGCCGATCACATCATCGACAGTTATGGCCCCACCAGTTATGAATGCCAGGACGGAGCTTGAGATCATAAAATCCATCTTCGACTGTGCAGTATAGTCATACGATGAAGTCAACTTGGAATGATTTGCAACATTCAAGGAACCATCATCTTCAGTGTCAATTGCGCTAAAATGATCAAACACATCTGCTGTTGTTGTGCAAAGCATCGTCAGATTAATGAAATCACGTGACATACATAAAGTATCAGTAGTCCTACATTCAGCCAACGTCCTCTTTGCCCACATCCATTGACATCTGGGCTGGAAATGCACATTAGAAGAATCATTGGCTTGGATGGTCCATTGGCCGAGTCATTGGATCTCATTTTGGCTTTCAATCTTCCACCGGAATGCTCTCTGTCGGCAGGTCTGTAGAAGAGAGATATAGTACTTTACAAGACTGTTGTATTAGAAGGCACGAATGCTGGTCCATAAGAGAAAACGGCAATTCCTTGTCTGGGATAATCATTCATGATACTGCTGCAAAACAGCAGCTACTGCCCAGCTAGAAAAGCTCTATTTTTCTTCGAGGATGAACTTTGCACGCATTGCGGCTTGGCTGCTGACAATGGCCCCCAATCAAAAGAAGGTGAATGTCATTCGAGCTGTGTGTCATTCACATCCGCTGCAGAACACCTTGGAAGCAATGTTTTGAAGAGGGCTTTCAAGCAGTGAATGGCAAAGAAGCCTCAATCTACCATGCTATGACCTTCGTCTATCTCTGCGAACTCTCCTCCATCTACTTCTTCCTCACCACTCAACAACGGACATTCCTCTTTGACCAAAGGACCTTGCAAGCATTTCTTCAGCACAATGCCTGAGGTTGAAATCAAGATCAAAGTAAGTCATTCGCTTATAGCCTTATTGACACAAATGATTACTGACGGCAAATTCTCATCCAAGCTCACTGGCGTGCCAGAACTGGTCCTTAGCAGGTTGCAGAGTCTTCTCGAAGACTACCTGACCAACTCTGATGACCCTGAGGTCAATCCTACAGTAGCTACACAGCGCTCTGTAAAGCTGAAACTAAAAATCACAAGGAACGACAAAGGGGACATCACTCGTGTCATTAGAAAGGAGAAGAACGTGACGGCGTCACACATTGCGATGATCAACTCAATCTGGGAACGGTCTCGAGTATTGCTTAAATTCTATTTTCCGACACCCGACGTTGACTGGACCCAACTGGACGATAATTTCCGCGTCACACTGACTCTAAAGGTCATCATGCAGCCGCTACTTAAGAACGCAAATGGCCCTGCCAAGACCTATGTGGTGAGTCGTCCCGCTGTCTTGGAAATGTGCATCTCTAAGCAAGTCCTTGGAACAGGAATTCGAGGAGGAGCTCGGTTAAGAACTAGGTACATTCTGGTTGCGTCCCATAGCCACATGCAAGTGCATCCAAGTCCTTTGTTACGTCGCCCTCTTCGACTACAGAAAAGGTTTTCATGGCACGCCTGAGACGGTTATCCAGCATGATTCCAATGAAGGACAGAGATATTTCAGGAAAGATACTAAATACTTAAATTGAATTTGAAGTCCGTCCTCCTTCAGAGAACTTTGTCTTTCGTATGCCATGATTCAGATTCTTGTGAAGTACACCGACCTTGCAATGAACTTACTTGATTCGATTGATGGGCCGCCAGAAAGATCTAGAGATCTGGTCAGAACATTTTCTAATGGACAGTAGGCTTCAACTACAGCATTTGTAACAAGAGGAGGCCTCAGCGTTGTAATTCTGCCTTCACTTTAGACCTACCTTCAGCCTTAGCTCAGTTGCTTTCCTCCCACAGTTTATGCTCATTCCTTCTCACCTCTCACCTTCTTATTCAATCTCTGTACCTCACATCATCTAAGACACAACCTCAACAGTAGGCAGGTGGACCGTCTTACTAACTTAAGCGTAACACGCCAAAATAACCTAGCTTTACGCCCCGGCTTGAGATCATCGAAGAGCTGAAAACTCGTTTCCCCGTTTATGAAACACTCAGAAACAGAACTCCTACTGACAGAACCATTTTCGAGCTCCAACACTTGACTCTGTAACTGTTGCTGAACAACGGATACGCTCAGCAAACTCACCAATCAAGCCTGTGGGCGGTTGCCGAAGATCCTCGTGTACATATTTAGGCAGTTGTGCATACAGGAAAAGAATCGAGTTTGCCGATTCACTTCCAGTCCGTGGCTTGCCATGGCAAGCTCCCTCTTGGACCAATGCTCTTCCTTTGGCTCTGGTTATAAGTCCTTGAAGCAAATATAACTAAGCCCGTTCGTGTGTAGGAGCTCATGGTGTAGTTGTCCACTCATGCGACGAGAAATGCTTGAATTGTTAAACGGTACGAGGATAGCACTATGCATTGATCTCTTGGCAGACAAACCCACTATTGTAATATACTGACTATGTCATGGTGTATATAGAGCATGCAGGCATATACAGCAGATGCAAAAAAAACAACAACTCATATCAAATAAATCAAAGCAAAGATTCCTGCAATCTCTCACTTGCGTGCCTCAAGTCCAGCTTTGATGGCTATACCTAGTTAGAATTGGCTCTGAGAAGTACGCAGGGAGAAAACTCACCATCACAAGAGGCCTTCGCATCCCCAAACAACATCCTCGTACCAGGCATGTAGAACATGGGGTTGGGCACATCGGCTATGCTCCCTTAGTGATACGTTCCAGGGCAAGATGAGAGAACTTACCGTATCCGCTGGACATGCCGCGCTTCATCACAATGACTTCCTTGCTCTTCCAGGCGTGCAGGACAGGCATGCCAGAGATCGGAGAGTCGGGCTCCAAGGCGATAGGGTTGACGGTATCGTTTGCACCGATCACCAGGGTGACATCTGTGTCCGGGAAATCGTCGTTTATCTCGTCCATTTCAAGTACGACTTTGTCGAGTCAGCAGCCGCCCTTATTATCGGGAACCTCGAGATGTGTGGCGGGACTTACTGTCATATGGCACTGAAGCTTCAGCGAGAAGCACATTGCATTGTCCGGGCATGCGGCCAGCTGCAGGATTAGGTCAGTCAACGGTCCTCCTAGGACTGAGATGAAGAACGTACCAACTGGATGGATGGCAAATCGTACTTTGACGCCCTTAGCGCGCAGCATTCGGACGATTTCTGCAAGCGCGTATTGGGCCTTGGCCACAGCCATGCCATAACCGACCACCTGGAGCACTGTGAGCTTCGAGCATGGAAGAGTCAAAATCAACATACAATAATTACGCTCTCAGCATTTGATAGGGTTTCGACCGTATCATCCACCGTAACTTGAGTAACCTGGCCCTCGATCTTCTTCTGCCCCTGTTGAGGGGCCGCAATGCCACCAAAGAGGACATTGGTAAGGGATCGATTCATAGCGACACACTAACTCAGTCAGTGAGATCCTTGAACAAGCACATAAAGACACTCACCATGATGTACGACAAGATCGATCCGCTGACCCCAATCAACGACCCAACGCTCGTGAGTAGTGGATTGTTGAGCATAAAGCCCTCTGCAACCAGAGCGAATCCCGAGTATGCATTGAGAACAGTGATAACAACAGCTTCAAGGTGTTAGTAACCGTTTCCAGTGCGAGGGCGCGGGGACATACGCATATCAGCCCCTCCAATGGCAGCAGTGGTCGTATAGCCTTTCAAGAAACTTAGGACGGTATTTGCACCCAAGCACGTAGCAGCAATGAGCGGAGATGCAGGGCCCATGGACACGAAAGCTCCCATTGTAGCCAGGTTTGTCCCAAGCAAAGTCGAATTAATAACGTGGCGGCCTGGAAGAATCGTGGGTTTTGACGATATGCGGCCCGCAAGCTTCAGGAAAGCTACAATGGAACCGGTAAACGTAACGCCACCTGTCCAGCGTCAGTAGTGTATCAATCGCCTGAATCTGGGCTAGTACCAATGAGAACACCAAGATACGCAGTCACCATATGCAAGGTTGAGATGTCAGCAAGATCGGCCATCACGCTTCCAATACTTGTGAGAACAGCAGCCAGACCGACAACTGAATGAAGAGCTGCCACTGTCTGGGGTAAGCTAGTCGGGGTAATGCGACGCCCAATCAATGCTCCTGTAAGAATGTGAGCCCAGCCCTTCTAGTAACGATAGTCAGCCGAAACAGGCATAAAAGAACATACCAACTAGAGCACCGCCACCAGCCATTGCTCCAAATTGAGCCAGGACCTCTGGTGAAAATCCTACAGCAGCCAGAGATGCAAGTATACCAGAAATAACTCCCAGAATACCAAGGATGTTTCCACGGCGAGCAGTTTGCTGGGAAGCAAGGCCGGAAATTGAGCCTGGTTACCTTTAGTATACAGATGTGAAAGTTCGTCATAGTTCCACTTACTGATGCAGAGAAGAGTGCTGACCAGATAGCCAGCACTCACTAAACCAGCCATTCCAGTGCTAGCTGCTGCTATAAATCCACCACCGAAGATAACAGCGGGTATCGCGTAGAGCCATGGATATTCGGGCGGGTCGGTCGGGCCTACAGGACGGTAAGTGTTTCATCTTCAATAGGTGGTGGAAGACTGACGCTTGAACATATCCAGCATGCGTTTGGTGATAACAAAGCCTCCAGCAACGTTCATTGATGCCATCAAGACCGAAACCGCTCCGAGAGCTTCTGGGATCGTGCTAGGCGTATAGCCTCCACCCATTATGAAAAGACCACCGATGCCAACCATGCCTAGAAGCGACGCGTGAGGATACTATAATGACCATTTTTTGAGATATCATGCCTGCTCACCTGAGATGGCATTTGTCACACTCATCAAAGGAGAGTGGAGAGCTGGAGCAACACCCCATACAGCACGGTAGCCGACGAGACCAGCAAGCCCAAAAGTCATCATGTTACTCATGAAAATGGGGCCAGTGGCTTTTCCGAGGGCAAGTGCTGTCCCCATACCCGCTGTAACAGTTGCAACGTCGCGCGTAGCCTTTTGCCAGGGTGTGAGTGATAACTCGGCTTGTTCCTTGCCTGGGATCGCCGCAGCCGTCGGCTTAGGTGGCGGTGGTGCTGCTCGTGGAGCTGGGGGTAGTATCTCGCCGTTGAGTGTGACAATAGAGCCGCGCACGACCTCGTCCGACAGGTCAATGCCAAACGATTTCGCCTGCGGTGCCATGGATAGAAGAAACTTGGTGATATTGTTCGAATATAGTGTGGATGCTTGGGTCGGTAGGCGTGACGGGAAATCAGTATATCCTAAACTGGTCAGCATGGATTTACCGAGATCAGACAGGCTTGAGCTTAACCCACCAATGACAGTGACACCGTTGTAATTGATCAATTGTCCAGGAACAGTTGCTTCACAGTTACCACCAGCCTCAGCTGCAAGGTCAACAATGACAGATCCAGGTTTCATGGCAGCGATCATCTACTATGAATTAGCTAGTGCTGCAAGGACAAGGTCATGGATCATTCGTACCTCCTTGGTAATGAGTTTCGGTGCAGACTTGCCTGGAATCAGTGCTGTTGTGATAATGATATCAACATCGCGAGCCTGTTCCATGAAGAGCTTCATCTCTGCGTCATAGAATTCCTTGGACATTTCCTTCGCATATCCGCCCTGACCAGCGCCTTCTTCCTGGATTTCGACCTCGATGAATTCGGCACCTAAAGATTGAACCTGCTCACGGGCAGCAGAACGCGTATCAAAGCCACGGACAATGGCACCTAAGCGACGGGCCTATGCATCGTTGGTAGAGAGCTTTGACTGTTAAGCAGTGCAGACCTACCGCAGCGATGGCGCTCAAACCAGCCACACCAGCACCGATAACCAAGACCTTGCTAGGAGGTATCTAATTGCAACAATCAGTAGCAGTTCTCTGTGTGTGGAGGCGAACAACCTTTCTAAGAGGCATGGTTAGCAGGTCAATATCTGAATGGGTTGAACATCTCTTACCCAGCAGCTGTGACTTGACCAGTTAAGAAACGACCAAAGTGGTTCGATGCTTCTAAAACAGCCTTATATCCGGCGATATTGGCCATAGAGCTTGCCTCACCATTAGTACCGACCACCTTTTGATATAACCTGCTCGTAAGCCCTGTGGGCAACTCACCTGAGGGCATCAAATGTCTGGGCACGAGAAATCCGAGGGATCATATCCATGGCGAAGGCCGTGACTCCGCGCGACGCAATAGCCTCTACCAGCAGCTTATTCTGCGCAGGATACAAGAACGAAATCAAGGTGCTTTCCTTGCGGAGGGCTTCGACTTCATCTATCGGGCCCTCCTGTCGGGGACTACGGACTTTCAAAACGATGTTACTTTCGGACCATACAGCAGCTCGGTCGACCAGGGTCGCTCCGGCTTGTTCGTAGGCCTGGTCATGGATCTGGGCTTGTTCACCGGCACCACGCTCGACTAGTACGCGCGAGAAACCTTTCTTCAGTAACAAAGTCACGTTCTCCGGTGTGAGAGCCACGCGACGCTCGTTGGGCCATGTCTCGCAGGGGACGCCAACAGTCAGCGAGGAGTATGGAACAACGGGTACATTTGACGGGGCAGAGGCGCTGCTCGCGGTTCTCTTCGAGATTTGCGGCCACTGAGGGATGAAAGGGAGCTTATAGTCGTTCCTCTGGCGAACTAGGCAGAATATCTGTCTTGTGTGAACCGCTGAAGTTCCGGCAGAGTTAGTACTCTGACAGCAAACACCCTAGTAACCAAGAGAGCTGCTTACAAAGATGGTTCAGGGAAAACAATGACTTCACTGGGTGGGAACTGCAAGCCGCCCGAGACGGCCCCAGAGCCGACCGCAGGGTCCAAGGCACACTCATCGTCAAGATCAACTACTTGAGGATATAGTGTCGTGAGCCGTCCGACAAAGGTATCATTCCTGAAATTCTCAGCCCATCGACAGAGGCAAGGGCGCGAACTTCAAACCAAAGGAGAGATGGACGGGAGGGGAGGTAGGCCGTAAATAGTGCGGAGTCGAAGCGGAGGAGAAGTACCCGACCTATACAGGGATGAACGAAGAGGTCAATCCGCGAATACTAGGACTGATTGGATTAGGTGCCTACCTCTGGATACGCGCTGTGACGCTGCTTGCTTGGCTCCAGTCTAGCGATAGGAGCACGTAAATCGAGAACGAACATTGGATGGACTCTGGACGGACTGCCGCATAGAAGGGGGAGGAGGCTTCTGGGGTTGCTGGGCGTGGCGGGGAAATAATGATTGATCAGGCGCGACACAAAGAACGAATTCCACGAGTGAATCCTCAGGAAGAGGTGTGATTAATCAGGACTGATCATCCTGATTGGTGTGCTGCGCCCCCCTACTGTACGTTGTTCGATCGATGCAACAGTGGCTGCCATGCCTAGTATCGATTTATCCAATATTCCTTGCAAGTCCAAGAAGATGAAAATGAGGGGAAAGCTGGGGATCATGTGGGGAAGTTACCGGAGTCACTCCACTACTACACTACTATGCATCTTCACAATTTTATGAGGATTCTATTGTCATCACAACGATTCTGCCATCAAATTTCCGAAAACCCGAGTATTTGAAACAAATTTGAAATGTTAACATGTTCTATAAGGCGCATACCACTAACACCCTGATCGAAATCATCCTGCAGGTGATACAAAATCCCCACGACCTAGTCGTGCTACCTGATAACTTGCCGATAAGGCAGCCATTTTGTGGCGGCGACAGGCCATATGCATCCAGTCTTCGATACCGTTAAGGCCGCAATTGTCTAAGTGGAGAATATGCACAGGCATCGTCTCACATCACGAATTACACATTCATGCTATGGACGGGCCACATGAAACAGGATGCTAGTTAAAAATCTATACACCTTTCCAGTTGATCACCTATTCACTTCTCTGGCTCGATTAACGGCTTCGCTCAATGCTCGATCAATTTTGCGGGGATTTGCCTGCTATCAGGTTACGATGCGCAGAACCAACGACATCTGACTTCAGGGCCTGGGGCTCAGCCTTGCAGACATGTCGCTTGTAAGATGCCTCTACCGGAAAGAATGCTCAAAGCTCAGTGGAGACTAGATGCTTCTGCTTAAAGGTTCTGGTTGTTGATCATTTGGTGAAGCACCGACGAACACTCGAAGCCACTCGTCAAGCACACAGTGCCATGCTGGTATCTCCATACAGGACGACGGTTGCTCCCTGACGACGCTCCGATAAGCATCGAGCAATACAGCATACAATGAAGGCTGACGCGCACGATCTTGAAATCAACGACAGACTCAAGACCCGTTGATTTCAAGACCGAGGAAACAGGTATAGAGGTGGCCAGATTCTCGGCCCAGAGGACTCTCGCTCCCAGGGCTTCGACCATGACCAAGACAGTAGTTGTTGACCGTATACTCGCCGTAGGAGCTGACGCGGTCAAAGTCGAATAGTTGTAGTTCGCCTCTGGCAACATCAGCGATTCCACAAGAGGACAGATGGCCCCATGCGGTCCAGTTGACTAAATCCCTTTCCCAAAGCTATTAGTTAGCAGTTAGATTACGTACAAGCTTCGTAAGATCATTATACCAGGAGGTGGACCGGCACATTTGATGGGGATGTTGACCATCTTTGCCCAATGGCGGTGTTTGAAACGAGCTGAGTACGTCAACGTTGATGCCTCTGGTTTCATTTTTTCACTTGGAAGGGTACTTAGCTAGAATTAATTAGTCCAAATCTAACTTACGTTGGATTTCTTACCTACAGCTTTCGTCAGCTCAGTGGGACGACAGAGCATTTACGCCGGTATATAGACGTGGGATCCAATCCACTCATAGTGTATATAAGTTATGCATAGTAACATGGCAGAAGCAACAGGAAAGATGAGCATCCTGATATTTATAGGCAAGATTGTCAAGCACAGAATGCTTCTGAGACATCAATCTTTTGTCAAAGACAGCACTACTAACCTACTCAAAACAGAGAGCATCTACCATGAAAGGCCTACCACATAAAGCAACAACAAGGACTCAAAGCGACCTTCCTCTTGCGGATACTAACAGACAGCGCACGAGCTTCCATTAGCAAACAGATTCCCATACTGGGTAGTTGGCACTATAAGGAAAGCGCTGGAAGTTCTTAGTTCGTTTCGTTGTGTTTCAGATACACGGCTATCTCACCGTACGCCGCAGTAAACAGATTCCCCAAGTAGTGTTGCGGAGCTTAGGAGGTAACAAGGACAATACGAGGACAATCAGTTGAATAGAGCATGGCTGTAGAATATACGTCGGAAAATGATATCCGGTGGTTATGGCTGGATGATTGCTCATCTAAGGGAAATTCTACGCGAGATGAACGGAGCTACGGAAATGTGCGGCACAGGTCGATATGGGTATTGTAAGGAGTGGTGAAAATTTGAAGCAGAATAATCTTCTCATTCCAATTCGTGTGCGCTGTCATGATAGTCAATGACAAAAAGGACTCCAGCCTCAGTCCAGGAGGTATCCAGTGATGACTGATCTAGTCAATAGATATTATACAACAAGAATTAGACAATAGGGTAGACAGAAGAACAGTACAGCGAAAATCAAATCTCCTGAACATCAGAAAGCCGCCATAACCGAATATTAAAGAAGGATATCGTTTGAAGGTAAACGCCTTTCGCCATTAAATAGAAATCCAAGAGTGAAGAAAAGAAAGAAGAAAGGGAAAAGAAAAGGCCATTCTATGATCGATGGTTCCAGATAGTAGATTTTCTCCTCCCTCTCAGCATAAAACCCATGATGCTCTTAGCGGTGGACTGTTCCTTGCCCTCCTGCTTCGCGAGCTTGCTGCGCTTCAGGCTCTTCTTTCGGCCCACACTAGCCTTTCCTGCTTGATCGACTGGCTCAGGTGCATCCACACTGTGGACACTTTCCACTTCTGATCGAAGGCTGCTGGAATAGGACGACTTCAAAGAATGCATGGTGGAGTTCCGCACCGGAGGGAATGGGCGATAGCTGGTCGGCGTGGGTGCACTGCTGTTGCTGTACACAGAACCGGATCGGTTTCGATTGAAAGTCGGCGAGGAATAGTAAGGAGCAGAATTTGGAAGGATTGGAGAAGGAGTGCGACACGTTCGTAGCGGGGACGACTGTTCAGAGCTTACACGTGCGTGGGACGCGGAGGCGGGTGGTGTGCGAGTGTCTAAGCCCGCAGATGTAGAAGCGTGGCGTGCATGCGAGAGTAAGACGCTGGCACTACTCAAACTTCGCAATGAAGGGGGCCGTCGGAGGGATTCGGCGGGTAAACGCGAGCGTACCGCAGTATATAGTGAGGGCAGCTTCTCGGCGGGCGATGCTCTTGTGGCGGAAAATGTCTTAGAGCGAGACCGCGGAGACAAGGGTTGGGGAAGCTCGGGTACTTCGGACAGCGAATGCATCGTGGCACTAGACTTTGGCAGCTCAATGCGTTTTAATTCCTTAACCGATGCCGATGAGCGCCCAGCTACCGAGACACTGTTGCGTTTGAGATGTTTTTCATTCGTTCCATCAGACTCGCCTGTGCTAAGCAGAGGCTGAGACTTGGCTGCCTGCCCGAGCGAGTAGATACCGTTGCAAGCACCCACATCGGAGGCGTTGCTTGAGCTATGCTTGCAAAAGGTGTCTTGCTTCTCGTCAGCCGATGAAACGGGCGGAAAATACGATTGCTCGGGACTGATTTGAATCAAGTGAGGTTTGGAGATAGGTTCCACATATGTGACCTGCTCAGCCACGAGAACGTCAGTCTCTTCCACTGAGAAGACAGAGGTGGGAGACGGCGATCTCATCGACTGAGCAGCCGATGATCCGGGTGACCCAGGGGGGACATAAACAGTTGGCTGTAAGAAGAGTGGTGACTGAAGTGGTGACATTTGATCTGGAGAAGGCAGCTCGATTATCACATCGTCATCATCGTCGTCGTCGTAGACGATGGAGTCGGTGGCAAATGTTGCATTGCTGCTTCGCTTCACGGTATCCATTGATACGGGACGCGACTTCCTGCCTCTCGATGTGTAGGGGGCTAGTAGCCGGGAAACTTGACGGTTCTCTGGCTCAGGTTTAATGCCGCGAGATAGCTCTTCCGTGCTCATATCAGAAAACGTCCCCGTAGTGTCATCAACGGGTGAGAAAGCGTTATCATGTCCACCATGTTCTGACTCCGATATCTCTTCCTCGTCCGACTCGTAACGTCGTGGCAAAAGCTGCTGGTTTGTGTAATCGAGACTGAGAGAATCTGCGGATTGGTACATTTTCTATATAAATGTAGAATAAGAAGAAGATGAACACCCAACAGGCCAAGTGAAGGAGATTTCTTCAAGAAAATAAGGCAAGAAATTAGTAAAATGGAGAATGAAGAAGTCCAAAGGTCTCAGATCCTGAAGGTCATCAAGGGTGGACAAAGGAGTGCAGTATGTCAAAAGAGTGTGGTGATTGACCCAGGGGAACAGGGGAAGAGAATAGTAGTTCAACGGGATACAGACAAGGATATATTAATCCTGAATATTTTCCATCTCCTCTTGTCCCACACGGGTCGGCATGCTCTAAAGGAGTGGATCCTACCCTGGAAGGTTTTTTCGAACAAGGAGGAGACCACCCTCAATGCCATCAGAGTATACAACTGCAAGAGAGGATGAACTAACAGCTCGGTCCACAGTCGGGTTAGTCAATATCAGCGCAAAAATAGAGAAAACAGCCGTTCACACGTGCACTGGAAAAGCATTGGTGCGTCCTTTTTTCCCCTCTTTTTCTCTTCCCCTTTTCTTTTTTCCTTGCTGGGCCAGAATCAGGACAGACTATGCTGGGCCTGTAATGGACAGTGCTTACGTCGGCGGTTCGTCCTTGCCTGACTCCTGCAGGACAAGGAGTGAACCGTTGCCTCAGGATATCTGGAGAGCGCCCCTTGCATTTGGAGTTCCTCGCTAAAACCCTGCATTATCACCGGGCCGGATTAAAAAAAGAAAATAAGACCGTGAAAGTATGAGCGTTAGGTCATTTCATGTAAAGTGTCATTGCGCCAGTCACCAGAATCATATGGGGCACCACAAAGGTTAGAGAAAATTCGACGTATCAACGTGAGGTGTCATTTGATAGGAGATCAGAGGTCAATGCTTGCGGAGCAAAAAAGTCAGGAATAGCGTATTCTTAATGCAAGCTCTTGGATTAGGAAAATTTTGGCGGCAACAGCTTGATTGCAGGTCCGCATCGTCCACCTCAACGCGAATAGGAAGGACGTTTGGGTTAACGCTAACAGGCAATCCTCTCAGACTTGCGGATCTAAGATAGGAAGTTGGACTCGGCCAAGAAGCGCGCTAAGTATTCGGGCCAAAAGCCGAGGCCATGTGGTAGACGATACTACATTGGTAGAGTAGTTTAGATGTTCTACTCTCTTGCTGATCTGCCTGTCTTCTAAGAAAGCAAGAGTTGCGCCGCCGATGGAGAATCCCCAGTTCGAATTTCGAACTGTGATCCACCACCGGTTGAACGAAGGTGGACTGGTGGTCAAACCGCCTTCTTGAAGGCCGGTTTGCCTTCTCAATAGCTAATGGCTTCTCTCGTTCTCTGCCCTGATTCTCATGTCGCTATCTCAAGCCACCAAATGCTCTGACCACCCATTATCTTCCCACGGTTGCAATTGGATGAACTCAGATTATCCGAATGTCTCCACAAAGCCGCGTACAATATGCCGCAGCATCAATGCAGTACAGAGATAGATAGATAATAGCGGATCATATCATATCGTTCTGGCAAAAGCTTGCCGAGTGTGATGTGTAAGATGTTCCTGAGGAGTTGCCAAGGTGGACCCGCTGCTACACCATGGTGGGGCGTCTTTAACTCAAACGCACCATCATCGACCATCAGCCTACCGAAGCGAATAATCGTCGAGTCCGGTTTCCACTCGCTCATGGCTTGTTTTCTCGTTTCTCCTTTGGGCGGACGCATATTTGTGATTTCGGCTTATTTTTGGGCACATTGAGACGACCAAAAGTTCGACGGAACAACCGAGAACGAATAGGAGATTTTGAAAGCTGCACGGTAGATAATAGCTGGATGACCTCCCTGCAGGAAAATCATGATAACCCTTGCAGCAACTATCCAAGTGGACTCGACTCTCATCATTGACAAGAGGCAAAATGGCCAACTTCGGATAGCCCAGCCGGTACGAGGGTTTCAGAAAGTCTTAGAGTGGTTCGCTCGGAGTTTCGAACTGTGTCAAGAAGACAGAACAGAACAGAACGATGCAACCCATGCGAGAAAAAAAAATAAAAAATTTGAACACCAACCGCAATAAACCTAGGTAGACAATGGAAACCTAGGAATGGAAAATCATTCAAGTCAGAGTTATGGAAGCCGAGATTCTGGCTCCGTGTCAAGTGGTCAGTAAGATAGGAACGATACTTTCTGCGGTGGCTGGTCGACGCTCGTCCACATCATCACTATCTTCGGTGTCAATTGTAACAGACTGGCTCTGAGATCCTGCGTTCTCTATGTAACGAAATGGTTCTGACTTGCTGAACTCTCAGACCATCAGTGAAGCGCGGAAATTGCAGGTTGGATTGCAGATGGTTCGTTGTACTTGCTTATTTGCACCATAGTACGTGTCCAACGATGG